TTTATTTTAATTATTTAAAATCTAGTTATGTTAAATATTTTGTTATTTAAATACTTAAGTAATATGTAAAATATTTAAATTTTAAAATATTAATTATTTATTGAATTTAATTATCCATAAAATCATAATTTATACTATTATTACATAATTTCATTATTAATTTTATAATATATTAAATTATTATTAATTTTAATATTATTTATAATTTGAATATTTTTTTTAATTTATCACATAATTTCGTTATTTTAACTATTTAAAATCTAGTTATGATAAATATTTAGTTATTTAAATATTTAAATAATCTATAAAATATTTAATTTTTTTGTTATTTTAATTTTATTTATTTAAAGCTATTACATATTATTAAATATTTGAAAAACATTTAAATTGATAATCCAGAAAAAAACATAATTAAATTGTTAGTACATACTTTCGTGATCTATTTTGTAAAAATATAAAATTACTTTTTGTGTTTTTAATAAGTATTTTAAAGATATTATATAATTTTGTTAGAATATTTAAATAATTCTTAGTTTTTTTAATCTAAAATTTCTTTAGATATATATTGATGAAAAGGGAGAGGATAACTAGGAATTAGAGATAATTTAGGAGAGAAACTCCCTACTAAATTAGAGATTATTTTGGAGATAAATAAGAATTAGTGATAATTTGGAAGATAAATAGGAATTAGAGATAATTTTGGAGAAAGTGGGGGATAGTGGGGGAGGTAGTTTAGAAGAAATTATTTAGGTTATTGGGAAAGTGCATCTCATTGGTTGCTTCAAAGATGACATAGAATAAAAAAATAAAAAATGAGAAAATTTCTTTACTGCAATGGATTTATTAAAATACCCCTTATAGTTTCATGGATTTACTAAAATCTACCCAATAGTTAGCATTTTAATTTACTAAAATACCACTTATAATTTATAATGGATTTAATCAATCTTCCATTAGATGACAGTGGAAAATGGCAGTGTTGACCTTAATGCTCATTTAAATAAATTTAATCAAAAAATAAAAATAAAATACCATTTTTGCCCTTAATAAGACACGTGCAACCACTCTATTGGCTATATTTGGGCAATTTTGTTTTTTTATACCAAAAAAAAAGGTGTTAAAAGGTATTTTTGGAATAAAAAATCATAGGCCTAACGGCAAAACAAACACTCATTAATGAAATGTTGATTAAGTAAATATGTTGTAAACTATATGGGATGTTTTAGTAAAATGAAAACTATAAGGTAGGTTTAAGTAAATATGTAAAACTATAAGGTGTGTTCTAATAAATGACCCTAATAGAAACACATAAGAGTATACAATTGTTTTATATTTTCGACTTTTTAAATAATTAATAATTATTCATAGTTTATATAATACTTTTAATAAATTTTTTATAATACAAAAATAACAATAATTAATTTCAGTTAGGATTATTCATGAAACTGATGAAACCGACCAACCCGATCAACTTGACTCGAGTTGGTCAGTTTTCTAGTATTTTAAGTCAGTTTTGGTTCAAAAATTTCCCAATTCGACCAAGTAGGATCAGTTTCACTTTGGCCATTTGTAAACTGATCAAAATCGAACAACCTAACCATGGATATATATTAATATTTTATATTTTAAATGTAATTTTTAATATGGAGAAGTGGAAAATTTCTCATATTTCTTTGTCTAAAATGTTTTATATCATAAATCTAATTTTTAAATTTATTTTTTAATAATTGCACTATAATTTTTAAAATTGATTTTAATTTTTAAGTTTAAATTTTTTGAACTGACTGATCAAACCAGAAAATCGACCCCAGCCAATACAACTTGAGTGGGTCGGTTTTCACAAAAAGGTCAGTCAGTTTTAGCTGACAACTCCCCAACCTAACCAGGTCAATTTGGTTGGCCAAATAGCTTACGGCTGAACTAAACCAACTCATGAACACTCATAATTTTAGCTAAATCAATAGTCTCATCTCTAATAAATAACAATAGTTTAATCTCCAATGATTATTGAAAATTTATAGTGAAAATACACAATTACTGAGAATATATTGATAATGAAAAAATATAATAATTACAATAATTACAAAAATATGATAAGTACTGAAAATATATTAACTTAGTCAATAAATAGTATAATCTCAAATAATAGTTTAATCTCTAATAAACATTAATCAATAAGTTATAACAAAAATACAATAATTTCTATAAGTACAATAAATTAAATTTAAAAATTTCAATAATAGTAGTTTAATCTCCAAAAACTATTGAAAGTTTTCTGTTAAATAACAAAACAAAATAAATTTATACATAATCGTTGAAAATACATTTATCACAAAAAACAATAAATACTTACTGAAATACAATAAATATTAATTTTATAATTATTTTTCTGCTTTTCAGATTTTTTAAAATTTATTACATAATTTCTTTATTTTAACTATTTAAAATCTAGTTATGTTAAATATATTGTTATTTAAAATATTTAATTATTTAAATACTTACTTAATATGTAAAATATTTAAATTTAAAATATTAATTATTTATTGAATTAATTATCCATAAAATCATAATTTATACTATTATTATATAATTTCATTATTAATTTTGTAATATATTAAATTATTATTAATTTCAATATCATGTTATAAATATTTTTCTACTTTGAAGAAATTTTTTAAATTTATTAAATAATTTTGGTATTTTAACTATTTAAAATCTTGTTATGATAAATATTTAGTTATTTAAAAATACTTAATTTTTTTTATTTGAATTTTATTTATTTGAAGCTATTACATATATTACATATAATTAAATATTTAAATCGATAATCCAAAAAAACATAATTTAAATTGTTAGTACAGAATTTCGTGATATATTTTGTAAAAATATAAAATTATTTTTTATGTTTTTGATAAATATTTTAAAGTTATTATATCATTTTGTTAAAATATTTAAATAATTCTTAAAATTTTTAATCCAACCTTTCTTTAGATAGATATAGATAAAAAAAGTAGGGGAGAAGATAAATATGAAATATAGATTATTTTGGAGAGAAATTCTCTACTAAATTAGTGATAATTTTGGAGATAAATAGGAATTAAAGATAATTTAGAAGATAAATAAGAATTAAAGATAATTTTGGAAAAAGTGGGGGATAGTGGGGGAGGTAGTTTAGGGGAAGAGATTATTTAGGTTACTGGGAAAGTGCATCTAATTTGGTTGTTTCAAAAATGACAGAATTAAAAAAATAAAAAATTCAAAAAAAAAGAGAAAATTTCTAGACTTCATTATTTTATATATATACTACTGGGGACCCGTGCGAAGCATGGGATTTATTAAGTGAAAGCTAAATAATAGAAAGGGTCATTTACTAAATACCCCTTATAGATTCATGGATTTACTAAAATCTACTCTATAGTTACCATTTCACTAAAACATCACTTATAATTTGCAATGGATTTAATCAATGTTCCATTAGATGACAATGGAAAATGACAATGTTGACCCTAATGCTCATTTAAATAAATTTAATCAAAAGAAAATAAAAATAAAAATACAATTTTTGCCCTTAATAAGACACGGGCAACCACTCTATTGGCTATATTTGGTCAATTTTGTTTTATCAACAAAAAAATGTTAACTGAAATTAGAGATTATTTTGGAGAAAAATGTTTTAGGAGTTAGAGATAATTTAGAAGATAAATAAGAATTAGAGATAATTTTGGAGAAAGTGGGGGAGGTAGTTTCGGATTTCAGAGAAATTTTAGGAGAAGAGATTATTTAGGTTATTGAAAAAGTGCATCTCATTGGTTGTTTACAAAATGACATAGAATAAAAAAATAAAAAATTTAAAAACAGGAGAAAATTTCTTGACTGCTTTGTTTTAATATATATATATATATATATATATATATATATATACTAGTGAATGACCCCGTACTCAGTAATGTTAAATTTACATTATGGAATCAATATTGTTAAATTTATATTTATTAATATTTTAAATAATTATTAAAACTTCAAGAAATATTTATTTAAAAAAAAATAGTTTTTCAATAATTACTATAATATGGATAGTTTTCTTTTATTATGATACGTAGAGGGTTAATAATTAACTAAGATTGATAGAATGTAGGCAGAAGTGGTTGTGGATAACTACTTTTGCATTTTCTGCCTTTTTTAGGAATGGATTGAAAATGGTGGTAGTGGGTTGTGGGCTTTAGCAGCAACTTCTCAGAAAATGTCACATTTCTAGCTTTCTAGAAAAATGAAAAGGCCATGTATTTGAATGGTGGGGAGCTGTAGCCTGGTAGTGGGTTGTGGGCTTTAGTAGGAATTTATCAAAAATTGTTAGGTGTCTAGTTTTCTAGAAAATGAGAATGCCACTTGTCTAAATGGTGGTAGTGGGCTATGGGCTTTAATAACAAATTCTCAGAAAATGCCATGTGTCTAATTTGAAAAAGCCACGTGTCTAAATGGTGGGGTCTGTAGCTTGAAAGCCTTTGTTTCATATGTATATAACGGTTCTGGGGTAAAACAGAACCGATCACTTGACTGATTCCCGATTTTTCCAGTCCGATAACCATGGCTCAGCCCCATTGATATTTGATAAAAATTTAACCAACATTATGGCTACCTTAATACAGTAACCATTACATGGAGAATTTGAATGTCCACGTATTCATTTTTAAGGGCTATAATAAGTTTATATTATTAATATGTGTAGATTTAGAAATAAAAATCAGGATGTTCAAGGAAGAATCATTAATCATTCTCATTTTTAATAGTGGTAATATATATTAGGTCTAGCTCGAGTTTGATACGAACATCGGATTCAAATATTGAGCCTAGGGCTGTAATTTTCTCGTATATATATATATATATATATATATATATATATATATATATATATATATATATGGTATTTCGTTATTTCGTTAGATTTGGGCACAGATTTAACTCTCGGGGTTCGAGTTACTGCCCAAGGACCAAAAATCCAACCCAGCTTAAGGATTGGTTCGAGCTCCGATTGCGCCCGCCCAAATTGCACGGGTTCGCATCTGCCCCCCACAGATTTGCCCCCCAAATACATCCCACACAATTGGAACTCGACGCGTGCAAGGGGAGGTTGACGTTGTTTCCAGCATCCCCGTTAATGAAACATGTGCGACTAAAGGGGGGTTTCTTCTCCATCCACCCACCGGTCGAGTTCCACCAGCCGACGACCATACCGGCAGGAGGTAAGTAGTCTGGAATGTAAGTTTTTCTCATTTCTTTTTTTTTTTTTTGTTTTTTGTCATTTGCTTTCTAATATTCACAGATCTGAACCTATCGGAGTGGGAGGCCCCTGACGACGCTTTACACCCCCTTCAGTGACCTGCTGCTTGACTCCGACGACCATACCGGCAGGAGGTAAGTTTTCTCATTCCTACACTTTTTTTTTTTGGAGAAAATATTCAATCTATTACAGATGGAAGTGGTCCACGAAGCACCATTCCTTATCTTTGGAATTGGCAACAAGTTCATAACATGCCATCACCTATGCAGGCACCACATTGGCTCATGTATAACCATTTTAGCTCTTTTGTAAACAATCTTCCCATACAAGTAAGTTGTGTATGGATTTCTTTTTTAATATTTTGTAAAATCATATTGCTTTATATTTGGAAATTGTTTGTGTAGGTAGAGGAAACCATCTCTAGTGGATCTCATATGAGCCAGGTGAAATTTTAATTGTTTATTTCTGAAAATTTATTTTTTTGCATAATTAAAAAATAATAACTATCATGTGTAAATGTAGGAATCATCAGCTCGTGGGAGAAGTGATGAAGATAAAAGGGCAAGAGCTGTTGTTAAAGTAAGGGAAGAGAAGACAGTGATGATTTACCTAGTGGGAGAAGTGACAACATGGTTGGTTCAAAGGATTTCTAGACGTGGCGACGGATCAGTGAAGATACAACGCTGGAGGGACTTACAGCATAGGGTTGATCGTAATGTGTATCACCATAAGTTTTCACTCGCATTTGTAGATTGTACTATGAAGCCCAAACCACATATATCTTCTTTATAAGTTCGAAATCGAAATCTAGTTGAGGTTATTTATCAAAGGAAAAAAAGCTACTTGAGGTTTGTAATTTCTTCTTCCCCTACTCTCAAGGAAATTGTCTTTCTTGTCTCTTGCCATTTCTGTTTCTTTTTTTGTTCAGTAGAATTCTATGTTTCATGTTTATGAGTATGTATGTATGTGACAAGAACTTCAACAAAGTTATTAAGTTTACCAAGTGTAGAAGGCCGTTACCTAATGCTGATCCTCACAATGATTTGTGGGAGAGGTGGACTGCAAACAATTTGAGTATGTATGTGACAAGAACTTGAACAAAGTTTATGAGTATGTATGTAAGTGACAAGAAAAGCACAGTTAGCATGGTTGGAAGTTTATGAGTATGTATGTGACAAGAACTTGAACAAAGTTATTGAGTTTACCAAGTGTAGAAGGCCGTTATCTAATGCTGATCCTGACAATGATTTGTGGAAGAGGTGGACTTGATTTGGACCTAATCTGTGGCATTCAATAAAAGGCAAAACACTGTTCATCATCTTCTTCTTGTCATTTGTTCACAAGGTCGTTATCTAATGCTGATCCTGACAATGATTTGTGAGAGAAGTGCATTGGATTTGGACCTAATCTGTGGCATTCAATAAAGGGCAAAAACACTGTTCATCATCTTCTTCTTGCCATTTGTTCATTACCACCGCCGCCCGCCGCTACCTCTGTCTTCACCCACCTCTGGCAACGTTGCCGGAGGCAGGGGAGGAGGTGGGTGGAGGTGGCGGCGTTGGGCAGAGAAATAACCACTAGTGCCGTCGCCGCACCTCTGCCTTCGGCCATTTCTGGCAACATTGCTAGAGGCGGAGGTAGAGATGGGTGGAGGTGACGGTGGGTGGCAGTGAACGGCGGTGGCGGGTGATGGCAAGCGGCGGCAGACAATGGCACTGGTGAACAAATGGCAAGAAGAATACGATGAACAATGTTTTTATCTTTTATTAATATTATTTTTAAAAAATTAACCTATTTTTGAAATATTTTTAAAAATATTATTTTTATTGATATTAAACCCCAAAAGTTGCCCTTAATTAAATCATAAGGATAGTTTAAGCTTATTATAACCCACTTTTGCTACGACACTATCGTAGCCCTGCGCTGAAACAAGTAAATCAAACCCTTTGATTTGCTGTCATGGCTCCACCTTGAAATAGATGAACTTCTTGATGGGTCAATGTAATAAATCCAAAGGCCATGATTTTCTGTTTTAGCCCAGCGCCTACGACACTGTCGTAGCAAAAGTGCAATTGGTTGTTGGGTTACTCGCAACTCGCAAGGTTGTTTGTTACTTGTTAGGTAGAGTGATTGGAGAACCAAAACACCGCACGAAGGAGCCGTGGATCACTCGGAGTTTTTCTGGTGACGTACCTTCTCCCTTCCAAATCCAAATCCCCCTTCTTTTTATTTTTATCTTCATCGGTTCATCATCAAATTGATATCTGTTCATTGGTTAATGGTGAGTAGCCTCCCAGTTCCAAATCCCTCTTTTTTGTTTAGGTACTTCATTCACAAGGGCCGAGGCTAGCAACTCAACAACTACCATTCCTTTTGGTCTGTTTTCTGAGTCTCTTCACTCTCTAGTTGTAATTTGTAAGGAAGCCAGCACACCCAGAGAGAACAGAGTAGAGTGGAGTAGAGAAGAGAGAGAAGATGGGAGTTGTGAAGGCGGCGATTGGTGATGGGGTGTTGACGTTCATGTGGGTATTCTGCGTTTCCACTCTAGGCGTCTTCACATCCATCATCGCTTCCGCGTTGGGCGTCCAAGGTCCCATTACCCTCCTCATCACGACCTCGCTCGTTGCCTTCCTCGTCTTCGTCTTCACTTTGATCGGAGCAGTCATGGGTGGCGCTAGCTTCAACCCCACTGGCACCGCCTCCTTCTATGCCGCCGGTTTCGGCCCCGATAACCTCATCTCTATGGCCTTCCGTTTCCCAGCTCAGGCTGCTGGGGCTGTCGGGGGTGCTCTTGCAATCAAGGAAGTGATGCCTCCAAAATACAAATACATGCTTGGAGGGCCTTCATTGAAAGTCGATTTGCAGACCGGAGCCATTGCTGAGGGAGTCTTGACCTTCATTATTAGTTTTGCCGTTCTGCTTATTGTCATCAGGGGTCCCAGAAACTCTTTCTTGAAGACGTGGCTGCTCGCCATGTCGACTGTTTCGTTGGTTGTCGCCGGTTCTGCTTATACTGGACCATCCATGAATCCCGCTAATGTGAGTTCTCCTTACCTTTTTTTTTATGCTGTTATGATGCTATTGAGTATTGACCAACAAAAAATGTTCCTCATATCTAAGATATTGTTTTGTTTGCGTAGATGATTTGCTCCTTCCCTGCCTTTAAGTTGAACTTGATCTCTTTCATGGGCTTTATTATTATTATTTCCAAATTCTATTTTAGAGCAATAGCATGATGCATAAGGAATAAATTATGAATTTATTTAAACCATTTGCAAGCTTGACTATTTTGATACTCTCACGCATCTCCAATCTTGTGTTAAACTTTGCTTCTTTTTGGGGGCAAAACACAGTGGTTTGTTATCATGCTTATTTTATTCTACAAGATTCTTCCTCAACATGTTACATGTGCAATTGTTGTTTATTTATATTCCCCTCCTAACTGGCGGCCACCAAAATAGTCAGTGTGTTATAATTTATTCTATAGTTTATGATAATTTTATTAGATTTCAGCTTCCCTCCACTGTGAAAAGGACCAATCAAAAGTTTCGTGGTAAGAATATCCTTTTTTGCTTCATTAGATTCTTTTAATTGAATTGAATCACAGTAAAATTAGTGCAACTAACAGTCAATTTCTTGTATTCCTCATGATGCACCCATCCTACATGGCCTTTGACTTTGACATGTTTGGATATCAAAAATTAGTTTTTGCTTCCTGAAGACCATAAAAAACTTTGAGAAATTATCCTCATCATTGCCATTACAATAAAGACAGCTATTTTTAATAATCATGGTTGTTGTTGTTATTATTAATTATTTACAACTTTAAAAGTTTCAGTACTTGAGGCTTAAGCCTCAACTAGTCCTCAAGGTGAAAGCTGGAGGTTTAGGCCTTAGAATACTTAACCAAAAGTTAAGCCTTGGGGCAATTTTTTTGGTGTTTAGACTTTGAGGACCTTCTTTGGTGTCGTGGTTTCTATCCCAAATTCATATTCCTAAACCTGCCCCTACAGATTGTTTATAGTTTCTCATTCAGAAACTATAGGACTTATTTTAGTTCATGTATCTGTTCTTTGGACATTTTGGTATACAATTTCTAGTTTTCTACAATACTCAGATTAACAATGCTCTGCATCCTTTTCATGTATTATTTTATTCAATTATAAATCTTATCACCACTTAGGGAAAAAGGTGGTTTATCAATATTATTAGATACTAATAAAAAATTATTACTCTATCAGATGACATCCAATTGTATTGTTTTATCATTAGTGGTTTTAATTTTTTAATCATAGTAGATAACAAAGATCTGTTAGGATTGCATTTTCTTGTTCACTCCAACATGGGGCTACTAATCATACTAAAAAAAGTATGTAGTACTAAGTTGCTTCAAAAATCTGGAAACATTGTTTTGTTCACACCAACATGGAGCTACTAATCAGAGATGTTAGAAATGTTTTATAGATATTATAAATCTTTATATACATGGAAACATTGTGAAACCATAATTTTCATAGTGCCACAGCAAGGCTAGGCAATAGGGGATGCCTTGTCGCCTTGTTGCCTAGGTGGGCATCTAGGCAACAATGGAAATTTTAAATAAAAAAAACCATGAATCCTAGGGTAACTCCATAGGTTTCCTAGCAATCAACTTTTACTAATAATTATCTATAATCTTTGTAAAAGAAGTATGAACTTCATAATAAAACGCAGAAAATCAACATATTCATGAGAAGAAAAAAAAAAGAAAGAAAAAATTGAGAAAATATAGGAGTTTAGCCCTTGTTTATGCCCTATGAAAGGAAAAAAAAGAACGTGTTGATTGGACAAAATTTGAAGTTCTTCCATGCTTATCAGTTAAGTTTTTGAAGTTTTTGAGAGTTCAAGATAGCATGCACCAATATGTGTTGATTGAATCCTAACAAACAAGAAAATAATAAAAATCAACTAGCATGTAAACCCACAAAATGAATAATTAAGGCAGTATTAATTTAGCGCATCTTTCAGTCTGCAAGGAGCTTGAAAGACCAAAAAATGGTTTTTTCCTGTTTGGTATCGCATAGAATGAAAGACCCAAAGACAAGGGTGCAGAAAGATCGAAAAAGTTGAACATCGGGAAGCTTCCAATGAAGCTTTGGTCTTTCTGCGCTTAAAATAGTCTTCCCAGGCTCCCAGCTGTTTTTAACAGCCTGGTAGACCACAACACTTGCCAAACAGTCTTGGTCTTTAAAGACAAGACCCCAAAAGATCAATGTGTCTTCTCATCTACTTGGTTGTTGAAAGATCTACCTAGAAAGACTTGCTAAACGCCACCTAAGTATAATATGTCTATTTTATTATTATAACTAAAAAAATTAAAGAATACTAAAGTATACAATAGTGCTATGTACATGATAATTAGGTGCTTAAGCAACCAACCCTCCATGGGTGCTCTTTTGCCTAGGTGCCTGCTTAGCCATTGCCTTGACGAATCTGATCTGCATAATAACATAGAAGCTTAGAAGCTTAGAGGCATACAGGAAGTGTGGGGTAATTGTTTCATTGCCTAGGTAACAGGAAGTAGATATGTTCATTTTATAAATACATGAAATATTTAATTATTTTATGATGAACCTGGAGAACAAAAGAAGAAAGGACAGATTTATTTGGATAAGGTGGTATTGCAATGTTTTGTTAGGAGTTCTTGCCAAACGAAGTCTAGTCTGAGAATACTTATTGTTGAAAGTTTTTTTGTTGCCATCTATTAGTATATTGTCCATTTTCTGCAGGCCTTTGGGCTTGGCTACTTTCGTTGTTTGGGGGTAGTTGGAGTCTACCAGCAGAAGTTCACATGCTCTTCAACCATTCTACCTTTTATTGGCCTACAAAAATAGGGAGAATTATGTGGAGATGTGCTCGTGCTAC